ATATACTTATTAGGTTTTTAGAAGATGCCATGGAGTTGGAAAGGGTAACAGTGAGCCACAGAATTGAGATTTAATAGAGTTCTAACCTCCGGGAACAGTGAGCCAAACAAGATGAAATTGAATGGGGAGATATCTAGGCTGCTAGGTTGGGGCCTATGTCATGAAATGTCTGAGTTACATGAGCAAAATGAGAAACTGCTCAGGAGAGTTAATTCACAGATAGTATTAAAAGGTCAGTACATCTCTGAACTACACAAATCCTGCCAAAGCCCTCAGTCCTTCCCAAGCCAATGACTGCCAGAAGACCTTGTTTCTTATTTTAAGGGAACATTGAAGTAGCAAGTCTAAAATACTTCTCTTCCTTTTATACTATGTTAGCATAAAATCTCCCTGTTCATTGACCACTCTTATTTTCTGGAGGGTCCCTGGTGGTGTAGTGCCTACATGTTCAGCTGCTAAAGGTTAGTCGTTCAAATCTATCAGCCATTCCAAAAAGAAAAGTAAGCAGTCTCCTCCTGTATAGATTTACAGCCTCAGAAACCCAGGAGAGGGTCACAGTGAGTCAGAATTGACATGATGACAGTGGGTTTGGGTTTGGTGTTTGTACCAACACTGCACTGAGTCTAGGGGCACTCTGCCTTCCAGCAAAACCATTCCATCACCCAAGTTAGTTTTACTGTCTCTGGTAGCATTACTAGAGGCATTTATTTACTGCCTTTGATAGGTGCTGTAGTTTGTAGAGAGTTGCACTTTAACCCAAAGACCACACCTCTCTGGCAATTTAAATCTACCAGCAACTTTGCAGGGAAAAGATGGGTGATCTACTCCTCTGTGATTTAAAGCCCTGGAAACCCAAATAGTGAGTCCGCTATGGGTCAGTTCCAGTGTCCCTGAATGGTGAATGACTGCTAACCAAAAGATTGAACATTCAGGTCCACTGAATGGCATCTCAGAAATCTGCCACCCAAAGGTCTGATGGTTGACTTTTGAAAATCAGTCACTGAAGACTCTATGGAGCAGAGCTCTATGCTTAGGACTCTCGTGAGTCAGAACTGGCTCGATTTGTAACTGGTTGGTCTTACACTTTACCCTATTTTCGTCTTTTCATAAACAGATCTAGTAGTGAACACTGGGTTTTGGAATAATTTTCAAGGCCACCTGTAGGGTTTATACACGTTGGAGATGGGGGAAAATGAAGCAAGAAGTTTATCTAAGAAAGACTGGGTGAGGGTGGAGAGATGCTTGGTGATATGAAGAATTAAGAGACAGGGGGAAATTTTTATCTTTCTAGTTTTCCTGACCTATTTTTCAAAGTTTTTATAGGTTTCTTTCACCAAGTTCCACACACTTCTAGAACTATAGGAAGAGCCCACACTTTATTCTTTGTGTCCCTAAATATCCATCCTTCTCTTAGTTGTTTCCATTCACTGTCTGCATTAAAGACTTAGAATTCCGAATTCTATGCAAAAAGACACACTGTCACAGATAATGGTCAGAAAAAATGTTTACATCTCTTTTATTATCTGTAATCATGTCTTTGTTTAAAGTTACGTTTCCTTAGTTTATGTTCTCATTACTGCCTAGCAGTAAAGCATGATTTACTTGATCTTCACATGGAAGTGTGAATTGAGTATGTCTTGCTTTTCTAAACTGGGGCCCACAAGTCTTCCCCGGTGTTTACACAGTCTGATAGTGAGCGTCAAGCTTGTCCACACCATCCTTTAAGTTAACAAAGTAATTATCTTTCACAGACTGCACACAAGGTCCTGATTTTTTAATTGCCAATGAGGCTTCCTTGTTTCTGACATTCACCCGAGCTGGTTCTTTAGCAATGATGCATAGATTATAAATACCAGCGTCTGCCTTGTTTCCTGCATTTTTCTTTGTTCACATTTAGTAAGTGCACATCATATGCCTACCCTAGCCCATAATAGATGATGAGAATGCAAAGATGAATAAAAGCCAAGCCCAGTGCTGTCAAGTTGCTTCTGACTCATAGTGACCTCATAGGACTGGTGGAATAGAACTGTCCCTTGGGATTCCCAGGACTGAAATCTTTACAGAGGCAGCCTACCACACTCCCCTCCACCCCCCCACCCCGGGTAGCAGCTGGTGGGTTCCAGCTGCTAAGAAGCAGCTGAGTGCTTCATCACTACACCACTAGGGGTCCTGGGTATAATAATAGCAGCTAGAATTTATTGAGCACATACTATGTGCTGGACACTATGCTTAATACTTTACATGAATCATCTCCTTTCATCTTCCCATCCCTGTAACTCTCATTTTACAAATGGGAAAAGGGAGACATTGGAAGGTTGAATAGCCCTGGGGTTTGAACCGCACCTTCCAGTACTAGTGTTCTTTATAGACCAGATGAATCTCTTTTCTTTCATGGCTTTACCCTGTTATGGGTCCTGAGCTAGTTGCTATCTAGTCCTGTTGAGCACTGAGTGCTTTGCACAACCTGTGTACCCACAGCATTGGTGATTGTATCAAAGGCGAACTTTGTTAACTATGTCCTGCTATTCTAAACCCACATAGATAGCATCCCGCCTTTTTTCAGACTGTCCTTTAAGATGACAAAGTTCTAATAGTTCACAATCATATTGCACATAAGGTCCCTACTCCTTATTTGCCAGTAAGACTTCCTTATTTTTTTACATTCACCTGCCTTCTTTACATATTAACTGCTAAGTGATGGAAAGCTTGGTGTAAAGATACTTTACAAAGAAAATGTTTTTCTTTTCCAAAATCTTTCCACAACTTTGCACTGAGGGCTCTCACTTCAACTGAATCAGTTGGTCATGAGCAGAACCTGGGCCTCCAGTGAAAGACAGCCTGGGCACTGTCGTGTCACTGTAGTGGGTGAGCATCCCAGACCCTGACATCACTTGACAGTCCACACCAGAGCCAGTTTCTTTTAATTCTTGAGGAGACTATTATGCAAATGACAGAATGGTTGTTCAGAGTAAAGCAAGTCTGTCATTACAGCCCTGCCCCAACCTATCGCTTGTCTATTTTAAGCAGCTGAATACAGAGCTTTGGTGGTGTCGTGGGTCCTTGCTTGAGTGCAGACTGAAAGGGTGGTGTGAACCTGTTAGCTGCACTACAGGAGAAAATGTGGCAGTTAGCTTTTGTAAAGACTGTTGTTGACTGTCAAGTCAGAAACCAACTCATAGCCAAGCCGCCAGTGGGTTAAAGAGGCAGTAAAGTGCAAGTAAGACTATCTGCCTTCCTTCTCCCATGGAGCAGATAGGAGATTTATACTGTGTGGTTTTGGCTTGTCAGCACAACTCCAAGCCATTAAGCCACCAGAGCTCCCATTCAGAAAGATCGCTACCTTTGAAACCCAAAGGAGCAGTTCTGCTCTGTCCTATAGCGTCTCAAAGATAACAGGTAACATCACTCACAGGAAGACACTTCTGTCCTCAGCATTCCACCCTCACTCCCGTCTTTGACACTGACTCCCAGACATTCTGTGTATTAGGAAATGTGGCATCCATCAAAAGAGAAGCTTCCCAAGGGTACCCTCATTCCTCAGGGCAATGAACTACACATCTGCCTTTTCTTCCTTCTAATATTCAAACCACCCATTCCCCAAGTGAGCAGGAGGTCGAGGCTGCAGCCAGGACCAATGGGGTTTTGGCAGTGGGCGAGCTTGCATTTCCTCACGTGGCCTCACTACAGAATCAAGGTGGGCAAGAGCTTGTGAATTGTGGGTGGGGTCAATTTTAATGAACGTAAAATTTATGTATCTCATTCTTGGCATTTGCCATTTTCTTCTACACATCCACTGTGTGTGTGTGGGGGGGAGGGGGGTATCAATATAACCAGAGAGCCCAGAAGATAAAAGAGCTATGTATAAACTAATTCTTTAACAGGATTCTGTTACCTATCTCTTTTTAAAACTTTTTTTTTTAAGTCATGTCAGGGTATTTTATTTAGAGTAAGATGAATCACCTCTTTTATGCATGATTTCCCTTTCGATTAAAAACACAAATAAATACTACCATGTAACTAAAGCTGCCTCACAAACCCTCAACCCCCTAGCCTCCCTTTTCCCATTCAGCCTTCAGGTTAAGCGTTCTGTCTTTTACAATCTCAATAGAAGGGAAATCTGTTGAGCATGTGTCTGATATTCTAGAGCTCATTTAAGTCCACTGTGTGTTTGAAATACAGCAATATGTGGAAACACTTAAACAAACTGTGGTAACAGAGCTTCCCCCTCCCCCTGGCCCCTGCCCCCCACCCCAACATAACTTTCTTTTCTGCCAAGAAGTTTTTTGGCAGTTTTTAAAAGGTTCAGTCTATTAAAAATGTTATAGACCAAATGGTTTTCCGATTGTCTTGACTGGGGGCACTGCCTTAAGTCGCAGAAGGAATGGTTGCAGAAGTCACAGTGTCTCGTTTATTTATGTAGAGGATTGTTATTCATAGTCAGACACTCCTCTGGAGAACAGTTAATGTGTCCAGTTTGTGAAAAGGAAAGGAGATGCAAAAATAAAGTGAGATTAAAGATTGTTGGCTGTAAACAAAAGCCGTTCAAAGTGAGGAGATGGGTTTCCAGCGCCCCCTGTGTTTGTAGCCTGTCACGTTTTCCTGTTTATATGACTGTCGATGACACTGGTGTTGATGTGCTCTGGGGCATTTATTAAAAGCTGCACAACCACTAGCTTCTCTCTTGTGGTCTATCTTTCTGACACGGCATTCTTTTCATCTCATTTTGTTCCAAAATATGTGTATGCAAATATCCAGCGGACAAACCGAGTTTTGCTTTCAAAACAAGCATTCGCCAAATTTGATCCATACTTCTACGTTTATGTTTTCTCTTCTCTCCACTCCAGAACAAGAAACTCCTCTATGAGAAGATGAAAGGAGGACAGAGGCGAAGAAGGAGGGTAATGAGCGGCCGCAGGATTGTGGTGGGGGTCCCTGCAGCTTCTGGAGGGGGACAGTTGACATGCTGCAGTTATTGGAAAGTTCCAAAATCCTTTCACATGAAGCCCTGATAAGGCAGAAAGGTAGTTCAGAGTAGCAGGGGCCACACTCAGAGAAGTCCACCCTGGCTGTCTTGGTTTCCCCAATCTTTCACACAGGATTTCCAGGGGAACCAGAAGTCCTGGAATGATCCCCTCAACTCCATTTCGTGGCTGCCCAGGGTGGGAATCTTGGTCAAGAGGCCCTGCATTTCACCTGATGGTGTTGCTTCATACAAAGCAGAATATTGAATTTTATTTTATTTTATTTGGTTTCCCAGTGCATTTCACGACACTGAGATTTAGGGAATGATCAATACTCACTCTTAATTAACCAGGACCTTGCTTGACAGAAAGACCTGGCCCCCTGTTATCCTCTTTTACTATTAAAATAGAGTAAAAACTAAAGGCCCAGCAATTACATGGCAAAGAGTCAATGGTGGCTCAGTGGTCAAATTATTGCTTTTTGTGTGGGAAACCTGGCTTCAATTCCCAACCAACACACCTGATGTCTAGCTGCCAGCCACCTTTCCCTGGAGGCTAGCCTGTTGCTGTGGTACCAAACAGACTTCAGTAGAGCCTTTGGAGGAAGACAGAATAGGAAGAAAGGTCTGGTGATCTACTTCTGGAAATCAGCCAATGAAAAACCCTATGGATCACCGCTGTCAGTCAGTGCATGGTGTGACCATGATTCAGTGGCTAATTTGACAAGATTGCTTGATTTGACAGCAGTTAACAGCAACAGCAATTATGTGGTAAAGTGGTATGGGTAATAACCATCTTAGTTAAGGCATACAAACAGGAAACTGTATACCGAAGGCTTTTATTCAGCATAGCAAGGGCTTGAATCCTGGCAACACTTGGAACTCTGCACAGTGGCTACTGTGGTCATTCTGAATAGCTTTGCCTAATCCAGTCAGAAAGTGTTTTAAGAGGTGTGGATTTTCTGGCTTCGGCATTAATCCTCCTGTCTCCACAGCCGAGGGTTCCAAGCCCCTTTACGTCTTGACAAAACCCAGATGACCCACAGCCAGCTTCCTATGTGAAATGCAGAACGTTTTGATGTCTGGAAACATTTCTTTGGGAGCATTAGTGGGGCTATTAGGGGTTTTTCTCCGGGTGATTCCAGCTTCCAGTGGCAGACAATGTCAGAAAGGGTCCAAAGGATATGATGTGGTCTTGAGAGAACATCAAGAAATTCTATTCTAGGAGCTAAGAATACACATAATTTACTAGGAAGAGAAGCTGAATCTCTCTTCATGGTGCAATATGCACAGGTCCAAGTGAGACTAGTGATAGCCCTGAAATGAATATGCTCTAATTATCTCTACTTCCCAGCCCATCACCCCTTCTCCCTTGATGCAGTGAATGACTGATGGTCACAATTTACATTGTGTTTTCATGAGACTAGTGATTACCCAAACTTGGAATTCTGGCAAAGGCACGTTGTAAAGGATTTCCATTTATCCTCAACTTCCTCTACATAGGAAAGATGTTGGGTTTATGAACAGAAGGGTTACTTTGACCCAGAGATCTCAGTCTCCTCCTTGTCTTAGTCATCTCTAAAGACTTGTTTTCTTCCCATAAACCAGAGGCCTGTAGAAATTGATAGAGAAACAGAATTGCTTCCTCTGGAATGAGACCTTAGCTGGTGTTCTCATCTCAGCTGCCGACCTTCACCATCTCTCTCATGTCCACAAATCAAAATAAAGAAATTACAGATTTCCTTTTTTTTAAAAAGTGCATGGCTTATTCCAACAAAGATCTACATCTTGTATAGGTTTTCAGAGGACACTGGAAGCAAGAATTCAAACCCAATAGTTCTTCAAGATAGAAATCAAGGATCTTTTCTGTTGTACCAGAGAGTTGCACTTGACTCCACTGAGGGTATATAGTTTGGTCCAAGGCCTCTGAATTTTCACTTCTCCAGTTGTGACATGGAGAGAATGTTTTCTGCGTAACTGAACTGAACTGTCATCCAAATAGATGGTAAAAATATAAGTGAGTTGAGTTCTTCAGAGCATATTTCAAATTGTTATTATTATATTATGATTGTTGTGTACTGTTGAGTCAGAACCGACCCATGGCTGACCCTCTAGTGGGTTTTCAGAGGCAGTTAATCACAAGTGAGGAGATTGCCATCCTTCTCCTGCTGAGCAGCTGGTGGATTCAAACTGCATGCCTTCAGGATTACAGCGCACTTACTTAAACACTAAACCATCACAGCTCCCTATTATATTTATTGTTATTGTTGTTGACTGCCTTCAAGTTAAGCATGACTGATAGCGAGCCTATGAACAAAAGGCCTAAAGCCCCTCTACAAATATTGACATTTATCAAAGTTCATAGAGTTTCCAAAAGCAAGTTGTTTAGGAAGTGGATGCCACTCCTGCTTCCAAACCTGTCATAGAATGTTATTGGTTGAGTTGCTTGCAATGCATAGTGACCCTATGTACAGCAGCTCTGTTCCTTCCCTGTCCGAGCCAGTTTCACTAATTCTGACACACCAACCCCCATTGCCCCAGTCACTGTATCACTCCATCTCATTATATATACTTGTGTTGTTGTTGTTAAGTGCCATTGAGTTGTAGGTGACTCGTACTGACCCTATGAACAAAAAGTCTGAACACTTGTATAACTTTCATCCTTTCTCTAGGTTCATAGGGTTTCCAGAAGCAAGCTATTTTGGAAGTGGATGCCACTCCTGCTTCCAAACTTGTTTTAATTAGGGAGCTCCACAAAACACTGTCCACCATGGGTAACCATTATCGCATTTGACACATCAATGTCACAGTGTTTAGCTTCACAGCCAGGGCTATATGACCTAGAAGAATGTTTGACCAAAAACAATTAAAAACAGGCCTGCAGGCTGCAGATTAAAGTCACCCACCTTGGGCTTCATAGCATCACTTTCTGTACACTGGGCCAATTGAGCTCTCTCGTTGTTGTTAGAGGTAAATGTTAGCTTTAAAACCAATAGTTAAGCATTCTTTTAAAAGTTCAAATGCTCCTTTTTCTTGCTTATTAAATTATTACCCTTCTCCTCTAACCTCTTCTGGGTCTGACCAGAGAGAGAACCTTACTAAGGGGAATTCTCCTCAAAGAGATGACAGAGCCCCTGGTTTTATGTGATTTCCCACACTTGCTCAAATGAAAGTGAATTCCTAGTTGTTTCAGGAATTTATAGGTCACCAAATCTTTAGGATGACTTTGCAGTCTATTAACTCTTGGGCATTCTCCTTTAAGATCTACCATTTATCTTATTTAGGGACAGTGGTAGTATTCTTGCCATCCACAAGAGAGATCCGAATTAGGTTCCTGGCCGGTGTACCTCCTACACAGCATCTGTCTGTCTCTCCGTGAAGACATGTGTGTTACTCTGATGCTGAACAGGTTTCTGTGCAGTTTCCAGGTTCAGATAGACCGAGGAGAAAAGCCTGTGAAATCTACTTCCAAAGATCCTGTGCCTCACAGTGATGCAGTCTGCAGCCAGTCTCTGTGGACGGCACAAGTCCCCATACTTTGTATACTTGGCCATGGGGCACAGGCTGACTCAACAATGGCTGACGGCAACAACATAGATCGGAGCAACTTTTCAACCCCACACTTGATAAACATCAAAATCTCATACCCCCTTTTTAATAGATTCAGAGTTTCATGATTAATATATTATTAAACACCAGTGAAAATAAGTATATGCTGACTAAGTTCTTTCCATCCCACTTGTTCCATATACTCAATGATTTAGATAGGATTTCATGGAGTAGGCCAGACTATTCTTGTTGACAGTCTCCAGTAGAAAAGCATATTGATTTTCCTACACTTTATAAATATTACTTCACAGAAAGATACTATCTTTCTGTGATGTGTCATTTTCAGATATATAAGGATGTTTTTATTGACTGCCATCGAGTCAAGCCTTTCTATAAACATCATCATTTTTCAATGTTCATTGAGTTTCCAGAGGCATGTTGTTTAGGAAGTGGATGCCACTTCCAGAAGTGGCATCCACTTCCAAAGCTATATGAGGATATTTCTCATAATTAATTCTCTACTTGCTTGTGATACAATGTAGTTTTTTAATATGAGTTGAACCTTTAAAAGTTTATTATTTTACCTGTCGGAAGATAGAAGAGTTCCATGCCTTCTCTTCTGAAAAATTAGACTCTTCAAAAGTGTTAGGCAGCCCTGCCAGTTAAGGGAGATCCAACTATGAACTGCCTTCTTGTGTTCATGATGACTTAGCATGCAACTAAAAAGCTGATCAAGTGTAAATTAAGCTCCTATCTTTTTTTGTTCAGTTACAGCAAGTAATTTTCAGTACATACTATCTTCCAAAGCTTTTGATACTTTTTTCCATTTGCTAAGACTATGCTGTCAAGTTATTCATTCAAACCCAAGCCTTAGAAGAATATGGATGTATTAGAGAAGGAATGGAAAATCTTTGACTCACTCAGCATACTAACAGATGAAAGAAATTTCAAAGTATGAACAGTTGAGTCAAAATAAAAGAGGCTTCCAGATAATGCCCTTTCCCCCTTTCAGCTGAGGGAAGATGAAAAATGATCCCTGACAAAGATTCTTTAGCAAACTGCTGGTGTGCAACTGTCAGTTACAGCCACAGGATGATCTTGTGACCAGTCTTCAGTTGCTAGTCACTGCATGGCCCTTCTCATCTTCTTTAGAGAGTTCTTCTGTTATCGATGTTAAATGTCATCAAGTCGACTCTAACTGAAATAGCCTATGTATAATAGACTGAAACTCTGCCTGGGATTTCACCATCCTAACAATTTCCACCCTGCTTAAGCCACTTAGTGAAGTCACTTTGTTCTTGCATCATAATTTAATGAATTTCAGATTCTCTATCTTTCCTAAAAAGAACCACAGAATAAGAATTACCTTGCACAGGAAGATATCTAATTGCAAGAGCTTATTAGCTGGTTCATGCCAAATCTTTGCACCAAAACACCAGCAATGACGGCGTTACATCTGATAATGAAGGAACTCTATTGCTGTGTGGTAGATACAACTAGACACATCTACTTATCACATAATGTTTCCAAAGCCAGTAAGATATTGGTAATGCACTGGAGTAATCATTTAGTAAGTGGAAGCTTCCCATTAGCCTTGTTGCGGACCATTTAAGCCAGAAACAATTCTCTTTCACTTCTTTTATGAGGTATATGCATATAATAAACGCCCCCCCCCTTTTTTTTTCCAGAGTGTAAATCCGTATCTACAAGGACAGAGACTAGACAATGTGGTTGCAAAGAAGTCTGTCCCCCATTTTTCAGATGAAGATAAGGAACCAGAATAAAGGTGTTGAAGGAAAGCCTACCCTATTCGTTAGGCCTCAGTATTGTTTATGTGCACGTGATAAGAAGACCCTGTGAATGGCAGCTTGCTTCTTCTTTAGACTATAATAATGAATGATCCTCAACTGTATTTTTGATAGTACATTATCGTATCTTTGATGGCTTTGCTTCCTGCTAAAATGGGGTTAAAAACTTTTGCACGTGAATGGATCTGCAATAAACATTACAGTGATTATGTAAATGTCATCAGTAATAAAAAGCCAGGCTGTCAAATGTCCTTGGATTTGTTGCCGTTTAAAGTGATGTTTTGTGTTGTACTGTTTTGGCCATGTTTGCAAAAAGTTGGCATTTGGGTCTGAATATCTAGTTCAGCCAGCCTTTGGACACTGGTTGCACACCTGTAAATGAGCTGACTATCTTTTTTAAAATTCTTTTAATTGAAGTATAGTTAGTACGGGAGCTCTGGTGGCTTAGTGATAAAAAGCTGTGCTGCAATCCCAAAGGCACTCGGATTGAATCTGCCAGCTGCTCTCTGGGAGGTGGATGGGAAACCTCCTCTGGTGCAGTTTGCTGCCTCTGAAAACCTGCAGGAGGGTCAGCTATGAGTCTGCTCACAATTCAATGGCACATAACAGGATAACAATAGTTAACATATAATACTATGCACAGATCTTAAATATTCCAATTGATAAATCATGACAGTCATGTGTACCTGTGTAACCACCCCCCCAGCTAAGATAGGGAATATTGCCAGCACCTCAGGAAGTTCTTCCGTGTCCCTTTCTGGTTAATCTCTCTTTGTCCTCAAGAATGAACACTCTACTGATTTTTGCCATCATAAGTTAGTTTTGCCGGGTTTGGCTTTTCATATAAAGGGTTCTTACTGAACTGATAAAAATGGATTTTTCTCATAGCATGTTATTGACACTGCTCTGCTTATCAATGGTACATTCCTTTTTCTTGGTGAGTAGTGTCCCATTGTCTGAGTATAAAACTCATTGATCCTTTCTCTTTCTCTAGGTAGTTGTTTGAGTGAGTGAAGGGTCTTGTTGAAATGATGGGCATTTGGAAGGCTGCAGCTATGGGAGCAGGGAACAGCCCATCCGTTAGTTGCCACGGACCATCAGGCCTAACAGTTACTGATGGTCAATGGTCCCAGATTGGCCTGATTTTTTTATCACTTATTTTATTCTTCCATTTGGCATTCTGTTGGCATAGACCATGGGGCATTGCACTGCTCACCCAAAGGTCATACATCCCTGGAAGTTTAACTCTATCAGCAATTTAGTCTTGGAAAACTGTAAGTGATCTTTAAGTCCCTTTGAACTCAAGTGCAGTAAGTTGAGTTGCATTGTCTCCATTGTTGTACACTTGTAAGGACCATTGCTGGTATAGCGTGTAAGACTGCTAACCAAATTCTCAGAAGTTCAAGTTCACCAACACATCTGTGGAAGGAGATTGCTAGTCTCCTCTCATAAAGCTCTACAGCCTTGGAAGTCTGATATAGGGTCACTGTGAGTTGGACTTGACAGCCATAGGCTAACTGCATTCCTGTTCAGGATATTTCTTTTCCCACTCTTTGCCTTCTATCTTGCAATGCAACCCAGATAATCAAATACCTTGCTTTGTTGTTAGGTGCCATCTAGTCGCCTGCAACTCACAGTGACCTTGTGTACTCTGCCTCATCCTTCACCATTCTCACAATCTTTGCTATGCTTAAGCCCATTGTCTGTCCCAATCACCCTGTCAATTTAATCCTACTCAGGGTCTTCCTCTCTTTTGTTATCTTTTCCAAGCATAATGTCCTTCTCCAGAGATTGAACTCTCCTGATAACATGCTCACATTATGTGAGATAACAGCTCACCATCCTTGTTTCTAAGGAGCAGTCTGGCTACACTCTCTCCATGATGGATTTGTTTTAGCAATTGATGCTATGTTCAATATTCTTCATCAAGACCACACTTCAAAGACATTAGTTCTCTGATCTTCTTTATACACTGCATACATGCATATGAAACAAATGAAAATACCAAGGCTGGGTCAGGCACATTGCATCAAATATTTTAGAGTCATAGAAAATAATAGAAATATTATAAATAAATAATAAATTGTAAATAAATAATAAATATAAATAAATAATAGAAATAGAAAATAATAGCAGACTGGAGGAGCAGTCTGAGAGGGGCTCTTTTATAAGGCCTGTGGTTTTTATTTGAGCTGCTTGGAGGTCTTTTTTTCTGTTTTGTATTTTTAGTCTCTCATTTATGTTACTGGCCTATTGTGTATTGTCAAGTCAGAACCAACCCATAGCAGACCCTCCAGTGGGTTTTTAGAGGCAGTACATCTCATGGAAAGATTGCCCATTCTTCTCCCTTGCAGCAGCTGGTGAGTTTGAACAGCGTGCCTTTGGGATTGCAGTGCAGCTTCTTACCCCTAGGCCACCAGAGCGCCTTACGCTATTGGCCTATATATTTATAGCAAAATAAATACATGTGAAAACAGTGTGTGGATATTTTTATTTACCTCATTATAAAATTTATCTCTTTGTTTGATAGAATACTTTTATATACATGGTCTTATCTGATCCTGAAAATAATGATGTGAAGTAAATGAGAATTCCCATTTTATAGACAGAGCAATAGCAATGAAATACTTTTGCTAAAATGATGCAGATTGAACCTCTTGACTTCTCTACCTTCTAATAGAAAATTCAGAGGGTAGAAAACATGTTGAACACTGGTGGGAGGTGTAATAAAAAAATTCATAATATGAGAAAATCCACATGACAAATGACTAAGTTTTTTCAATGAATAAGTGTCAAGGGGGAGATATCATCTGAGGCACTGTTACAGATTAGAGACTCGAGGGATTTCAACCAAATACACTTTGTAGGTCTTTTTTTGTGTTCTGATGCAAACAAGAAACCTTAGAAAGACCTTGCCCAATTGGGGGAATTTGAATAGATAGTTAATGTTCCAATTAGTAATTGACGTTTGCCGCTGTTTTCTCTCATTTTGAGTCTTCCCACATCAGCAAATGAAGGTTTATCCTTATGTTAGACTCTGCTTTGAGAAGGCAGCTCTTTCTCAGTCACCTTTTGGGTGCCTTCCAACCTAAGGGACTTGTCTCCTGGCACTATATCCAACAGTGCTCTTCTGTTGTGCAAAAGGTTTCCAAGAGCCTCTTATTTCAGAAATGGATGACGAGTCCTGCTTCTTAGACCCTCTTAGTCTTGAAGCTGTGCTGAAACCTCTTCATCAGGGGTGACACTGCTGGTATTTGAAATATTGGTGGCATAGCTTCCAGTTCCACAGGCACACACAAGCCACTCGACTGCAGCAAACTGACAGATGAGTAGTGGGCAAAAGAAATGTTGTTGGGGACATCTGCTTAAGGACCTCTCAGAAGTTCTAAAAAACGGAGATGTCAGTTTAAAGACTAAGGTGCGCCTGATGCCTTTGGACTGTGGTGTTGGTGTGGTGTTGCTGTGTGGGATTATTCCGTGGACTGGCAAAAGAACAAACACATCTGTCCTTGAAGGGAGTACAATAGAGTGTCCTTTAAAAGCAAGGGTAGTGAAACTTCTCACTTACTTCGGCTGTGCTCTCAGCAGGAACCAGTCCTTGGAGAGAAATATGCTGGGAGAGGAGGCGGGTCAGACAGAGAAAGGGAGGAAGACTCTGGACAAGATGAATTGACACGGTGACTCCCACAATGGCCCTAACCATGACAAAGACTAGGGATGGCGCAGGACAGGGCAAGGCTCAGCTCTGTTGTTCATAGGGGCGCTGGGAGGCACAGTCCACTTGACAGCACCTGACTAGAACAATATTTGATGATATGCTAGTGTTAGGTGGTATTAGGTTTATTACATGGCATTATGGTTCAAGAGAACCCTTATGCTCAGGGACAAATACTGAATTATTTACAGGTAAAATGATATGGTGTTTGGGATTTGTCTTAAAATAATTCAATTGAGCTGATCAGGTCCAACTTACCATAAATAGATAACTATTGGGACAGAGTGTGATAACATGGGGGCTCTGTTGTTGTTATGTGTCATCTTGTCAACTACAACTTATAGCGACCCTATGAACAATAGCTCTGAACCCTGTCCTATCCTGAGCCAGTCTCACTGTCTCCAACACACCAGTTACTACTCCCTTTAGCCCAGTTACTATGTCAATCCTTTTCATCCAAGGTCTTCCTCTCCTGCACTGTCCCTCTAACCCTTCCAAGCATGATGTCCTTCTCTAAGGACTGGTCCCTCCTGGTAACATGCCCAAAGTATGTGAGATGGAGCCTCAAAATCCTTATCTCCAAGAAACAAATTACCTTCACCCTCTCTGAGATAGACCTGTTTGTTCTTTTAGCAGTCCATGGTATGTTCAATACACTTCTCCAGCACCATAACAGAAAGACATTGATTCTTCTATCGTCCTTAGTCATCATCCTTATCCAGCTCTCTGATGCATAGCAATTAATTTCAAAAACCATGGCCTAGATTAGGTGTACCTTAGTCTCTAGGCTGACATTGTTACTCTCCAGCACTGTGGAGAGAACCCAGACAGCAGATTTTCCTAAAGCAATTTTTGTCTTTTAATTTTCTAACTGTTAGTAGAAAGAGTACTGGTTGTGGAACCAAGAAAGCTGAAATTGTTAACCATCTCGATCTTAAGCATCTTAATCATCTCCATGATGCTGTCAATTGGCCCAATGGTGAAAATTTTTTTTATTATGTTGAGCTTCAATTCATATTGAATACTACAGTATAGAGTCCACCTGATGTATATTTGTCCTAAATAATTATATAAAAATAGGTATTACGGCATTTTTTCCCTTTGATTTCAAGATGCTTTCCAGTATTGAAAACACATGCTGTCAAAGAAAAATTCAAAGCCCAAACTGATTTGACCATGGAAGGATTAAACGTTAGAAAGAAAGAGTAGAATATGGCAGGCATCAGACTGGACATAGCAAATCAAGGCATCATATAAAGCT